TCACTGACACACCCCCCCCCCCCAGGGGCGCCGCTCCATCCCCCTGTGAGGAAGGGTGGGGAATCCACCTCATGACGGGCAAAGAGGAGCTGCCTCAAGTCCCCTCTTTTGTCTTCCTTCTGACTCCGGCTGCCCGCCCGTGGCGTCCCACCCCCAAGTCCCAAAGTTTAAGGGAGAAGACGAGCGAGGGGTCGAAGGGAACCCACGAAGAGGAGGAGGAGGCGGCAGGCAGGCAAGCCATCAGGGACAGTGAAAGAATCATAATATATATATTTTAAAAAAAAACACGGCATCCCAGGCGGCGGCGGCGGCGGCGACACCCTTCGGAGACGAAAAACTCGCCTTTTTACTCACTCAGCTCGCTCGCTCGCCGGCATCGGAGGGAAGTAGGGGGAGGCGGCGAGCCCGCCTCGCCCGCTCAGGGCTGAGTGGTTTCCCGTCCTCAGGTAGGGAGGGAGCCCGGCGGTCTCCTGCCTTGAACTCTCTCACCCAGCCTGACACGGGATGCGGAGTTTCCTCCGGCTCTCCGGGAGCGAGGCCGGGCAGAACGCGCAGGCGCACTCCCTCCCCTCCGCATTCTCCTTTGTGAGGAGGAGAAGAGGCGCCCAGCAGCCGTTCCCGTTCCACCTGCTCCTGCCGCTCCGAGAAGGGCGCCCAATGGCTTCCCCGGGAGGACAGCCGAGGAGGCGCGAGCTGGCCGGGAGCGGCAAACGCGGTTCGCTCGGAGGAGGCCGCCTCCAGCGGGGAGGCGAAAATAAGCCCCGAACCATCCCAAGCGTAAACAACACACGAATCCCAGTTCACGTGGGATTTCTCCGGAAAGTATAAAAATACATTCGAGGCTGCATTCCCACGGACACTTAACACGCCTTGTTCATCCCATTGTATTTAGCAGAGCTGGGAAACGGTGGTGTGTGGAGATTACGATTCCCAGAATCCCCTAACCAGCTGGGCTGGACGTTGTAGTTACCAAGAACAGTAACGTTTCCGAACTGTGGAACTTACCGGCCAGGAGGGTCGGCAGGAGTGGAAGGGAGCACACAAGGGCACGTTCGTACTCTCTGCAGACATTCAAGGAACAAATAAAGGATTTCCCTTGCTCTGAAGACAGCCATGTTGCCCGGAGATCCTTCGGAGTGAACGTGTTGACGTTTGACCGCTAAGTTTTATTTTTACAGCCTTTCGCAGTGATCATCTAATAAAAATAAGTTGAAAATGTACTCCAAACAAGAGGGGGGGAATCACTTAAGTGTTCCACTTGGGCCACTTAACGCAAATACAATAAAACGCAATTCGTGCTTATGTAGGATGAGGAAGTGGTTTAATTAAGGTCACAAACATAACGCTTTCGGAAGCATGGGGCGAAGATTTGCCACCTGGAGGAAAGAAAACTTCGGTGACTCGTTGGTGATGAGGAACAAGAATTACTGAGGGGAAAAATTCAGAGACAACAAAGTCTGCTTAAATTGTGATGTCATGATTTCTAATCAACTGATAGAGAAAGCTCCCAAAGTAGGAATTAGAACAGGATTTATTTATTATATTCCAGTTCTACATTTCCCCCAGGGATTATTATTACTATTCCTGTTGAGTGCCACTTTGCAGCTGAGGTTTGGAAAATGGGGGGGGGGGTTGTCCGTTTTTTCAAAATGGGAGGAGAAGGGTCAAAAGACTATACAGTATATTATCTTTTGTAATTCTCCAATAGTTTTGTTTCACTATTTTCTTGTTGTGCACCATGCCAAAATTTGTGCTCTGATCTTTTAAAACCTCCAGGAATTAGAACAGGACTTATTTATTATATTTCAGTTCTGTATTTCCCCCAGGGATTATTACTACTATTCTTGTTGTACTATGAGTGCCACTTTGCAGCTGAAGTTTGGGGGGGGTCCGTTTTTTCAAAATGGGAGGAAAAGGGTCAAAAGACTATACAGTATTATCTTTTGTAATTCTCCAATAGTTTTGTTTCACTATTTTCTTATTGTGCACCATGCCAAAATTTGTGCTCTGATCTTTTAAAACCTCCTGAGCCATTGAGGCTAGCACTTCTCCAATCATATGGTGCAGAGACACCTTAAATAAAACGTCATGCTTTTTCTTTCAACTTTTCTGATGCTGATCTTTCTGTTTTGAACAACTTCACAACAGCTGACTCGCCTGTTTTTGACAGGTGAGGCTGGACCCATTTGGATTTAACCTTCTTGAAGGGTGTGTTTAACCACCTTTAATTTTTTTCCTGCCTTATCTGAAATTTCTAGCCCTATGAATCAAAATGGTAATAAAACGTCATGCTTTTTCTTTCAACTTTTCTGATGCTGATCTTTCTGTTTTGAACAACTTCACAACAGCTGACTCGCCTGTTTTTGACAGGTGAGGCTGGACCCATTTGGATTTAACCTTCTTGAAGGGTGTGTTTAACCACCTTTAATTTTTTTCCTGCCTTATCTGAAATTTCTAGCCCTATGAATCAAAATGGTACAGTGGGGTCTGGTCTTGCAAAAAATGCCATTAGATACTTTTCTCCATCCTGGTATTTGCTGCATATTCTAAACTAAAACCCTAACTCATCTAGTCACCTATGTCCTTGTTTATTGTAGCTGCTGACCTTCCATCTTGCTATCCATCAGGAGCTGCATCTTAATGTTTCTTCAGCTAGAGTTTAAGAAATGCTGGCAAGAACTATGGATCAGTGGGACTTGTAGTTCTTTGGAGATTGTGTCAGATAACAAAATGATAAATTTACCTCTGTCTCTCAAATTATTGTTCCTAGTGTTTCCTGTGTAAGAGTCCATTCATTCATTCACAAGCTCACTTACAGTCACACACATGTGCACTTTCTAGAGCAGGAGTGGAAAACGGACCCTGCACATGTTTCTGAATGGCAGCGCCCCTAGTTCCTCACCATTGGCTGCAAAAACTAGAGATGATGAGATCTGTACCCCAGATAATGATAATAACAAATATAAGTACAGTATTTATGGTGGCACTCTGGGACTGTGCAGTTTGTCCAAGACCACACAGGTGGCAGGGCACATAACCCCCATCAGCTCCACACACTCAGAGTGATATTGGTTGGCCCTTCTCCACGGAGGCAGTGGGGATGTGAATGCTGGCCTCTGTATTCACAGTAAAAAAAACTCCAACCTCCTGAGAAATATTTAGAGAGCTGTGATTGTTGTCCCCAGTTCTAGGTTGTTTTTTCTCCTTGTGATAATGGACTTGCTTTTGAGCTCAGTCTGAATTCCCCTAAATGTCTGAGCCTGCATTAGATGAAACAGTTCCTAGGGCTATTGATGTTTCACTAGGTCCCGGGCAAAGTGTAACCCAGTTCATATATTACTGGTGAATCACAGAACTTTCTATATGACAGAAGGGAAAAGGCAGCACAACAGGCAACATTACTCCAGCCATCAAGTCCCCTCAGCCCACTGTTGTCAAGAAAAGCAATGTGCAAGATAACTGGTGCCACCACCTTCCTTATCCCCTGTGCTTCTCAACGTTATCCTCATGTATATGTTGGGGACAAGATTCTTCCCCATCCATTCACAGCTGCCATCAGGGCTAGCTGACTGATCATAAAGAAGTGTGTGTATGCAGGGGGGGTGGTACATGCACGTGGTCATGCATATGTGCGCATGTGCACATTCCTGTTCCTTATTTGAAATGTTGAAAATATCTGTTGTGGCCCTCATGGTCAAAAGTTTAGAGAACCCTGATCTATACTATGGTTGAAATCCTGTTGATTTAAGTATACCTGCAGAAGGTTGATGATGTAATCAGTAGTGGGTAATTTTCAGCAATTAAACACACCACCACCACCACCACTACCACCACCACCACCATCATCATCATCATCATCATCATCATCATCATCATCATCATCATCATCATCATCATCATCATCATCATCATCATCATTATTATTAATTATTATTATTATTATTATTATTATTATTATTATTATTATTATTATTATTATTATTATTATTATTATTATTATTATTATTATTATTATTATTATTATTATTATTATTATTATTATTATTATTATTATTATTATTATTATTATTATTATTATTATTATTATTATTATTATTATTATTATTATTATTATTATTATTATTATTATTATTATTATTATTATTATAAATTATGACATAATCAGGCATTTTTTTAAGAATGTGAACATTAAAACATATAAAAAGAAACCACTATCAACCACAAGGCACACTCCAGAACATTTGCCCTAAAAGGTCAGTTGCTGATACTGGGACAGGTCTTCCTTCCACCCCCATACTCTGAATCTGGCTATTAGCACCAACAAAATATTGTGGTGGTCTCCCAAAATATAAGTATTTCCTTATCCTGAGCCAGTAAAAGAGGATGTTCTCAGAACACCTTGTGGCATACAGTTTCACAACTCAAGGTTAGGACTGTGGACCTTGAGCATTATCTAGCTGGTAGAATGCCATATGTTCTATTCTGAATATTTTGGGGGTGGGAAAACAAAGTACTGTATAAATATGCTTGATTGATCAGAAAGGCTTTTTTAAACATAGTATTCATTAAATTAATCTTGCAGCACAGGATTTTTTTTCCAAAAAAATGAATGGAATGTCATAGCTCCAAGGTAATGGACAGCAGAGAGTATTACATAAAAAGATTTCCATATTATTGTTGCACTTGTATTTCATACTCCTGTTTCACAGTAAATTGTGTTTCAGTGAAATATATAACCTACATTTTTGAACTTTTGTAGTGCTTATGATACCTCAAATCATGTAAATTGCCACCATTACATGGTGATTTTCTATGCAATAAATTGTATCCTGAAAAATTCCACTAAAGATGTTATTGTTTAGTCGTTAAGTCATGTGTCCGACTCTTCATGACCCTATGGACCAGAGCACGCCAGGCCCTCCTATCTTCTACTGCCTCCCAGAGTTGGGTCAAATTCATGTTAGTTGCTTTGATGACACTCTCCAACTATCTCGTCTTCTGTCATTCCCTTCTCCTCTTGCCTTCACACTTTCTCAACATCAGGGTCTTTTCCAAGGAGTCCTCTTCTCATGAGATGGGCAAAGTATTGGAGCCTCAGCTTCTCGATCTGTCCTTCCAGTGAGCACTCAGGGTTGATTTCCTTTAGGATGGAGTCGCCTCTTGTGTTGTTAGAAAAGTGTGTTTGTGATGACCAGCTTGTTCTCTTGACAAAACTATTAGCCTTTGCCCTGCTTCGTTTTGATCTCCAAGGCCAAACTTACCTGTTGTTC